TCCAGGGATCAGTGACTCCACCTCTTCCCTGGGCAGCCTATTCCAATGCTTGACCACTCTTCCTGAGTAGGAATGTTTCTTAAAATCCAACTGGATCTCCCTTGGTCACTTAAGGCCGTCACCTCCTGTCCCATCACCAGTTACCTGGGAGGAGAGGCTGGCCCTGCCTCACTACAGCCCCCTTTTAGGGAGTTGTAAAAAGCAATGGGGTCACTCTGAGCTTCCTCTTCTTCAGTCAGTTTCAATAAAAGCATCAAAAATAATGAACTTGTTTCCTTCCATTCAATGTGATAATTGTGTTGTCATGTTTCTTTTGGGAAACTGACAGACTTCTCATTTTCTTGTCAGTGGTACATGTGACTGAACCCAACTCCCTTTCCGCCATGACTAGTCTATGGAGTAAAGAGATGAAGTCAGAATCTTGCCCTCTGCTCCACCTTAGTATAATTTCCTAAAAATTAAACGTGTAGAAAGTTTGTTGTAATGTTTTAATGTAAGTTAAAATGTTTTCCCGAATTTGGTTGAATTCCAAAATTACTTCAGCCACCATGAGATGGCATTTTCCAGCTAATAAATTTGCCTGGATCCCCTTCATTGGAACAGCCTGGCCTTAACTTTGTGATTGGATTTAGGACTATTTCAACCAAACTAAGATACGTGGGATGCATTAAAGATAATCTGTCTCTGGTCCTTTATTTGGTAGAAGTGTAATGGGGCAGCAGGTGCTGTGACTGAATGAATCAAAAAGAGTTAGAGATAATGGATGGCAAAGCAAAGACACCATAATTTTTTTTTTCCACCTGAGAGCAGCTGATCATTTGACAAGATTTTATTGTAATGACTGTGCTTCAGTTTTGCCAGATGATTGATGCACACAGTACTCTGCATAATCTTTTTTGGTGATGGATGTTGGTGCCGTGAAGCAACAGTTACTCACTGTGCTGCTATTGAGCATGAATTTTGAATTACTTGTGGCACAGAGCTGCCTGGTAGTTCAGTCAAAATGAAATGAAGGTCAGGAGGAGCCCAAGATAATGTTTCTCCTGCACATTAACCCCTTTGGCTCATGTACAAGCAGTGTTTCTGATAACAAGTTAAGAGATCACGTCCCTGGATTCCCCACACATGGGATGCAGGAAGGAGAAAGCTTCTGAACCACTGCTTACTTTTGTTCTCTCCCCATTCTATCATCAAGAATGAATTATTGAACAGTACTCTTGCTTTCTTGACAACAAACAAGAAGATGAGCTGATCTGCCCGAAGCAGGTGGACCCCTCCTGTACAAGATTCTTCATGTGTTTAATTCTGTAGCTCTGTGTCAAAGAGAGCGCTGCCAGTAGGAGTGGTGTTTATGTGACTAACACAGACAAATAATCAGTGGCTTTTTTAATGATTTTTTTTTTTTTCTTGGAAGCCTCAGTGTTTAGGGGATGGGGAGCAGGAGAAAATCTAGGTGTAAGTTGCTGTTGGTGCAGTGCATGTGGGCAGGCTGGGTGCTTCTCAGCTCAGCCCAGTGGAAACTGACTTTGAGAGCACTGATACCATGACAGCAGTGTAATAGCAAGGAAATACACATTGTGTGAAGAATTTCATTAATAATTGTCTAGCAATTTGGGCTCCAGACGTGCTAAATTAAGTGAGAGCAGGGAGTTAATGTAGGGCATGAGCTGTGAATTATTTTGAGGAAAAGGTTATCCTTCTCCTGGGTCTACAGAAAAGGCTGTGGAAGACTAGTATGCTAGATTTTAGACGACATGGCTACAATACGTTCCTGCATTGTGAGCAGGACAAACAACTTGTCATTTCTGCTGCACAGCTGAATTTATTTAACTGCTGTTTAACAAAGATGAAGGCACTGACAAAAGCATTTTAGTATGTCAAGTTTTTATCCCATGATCTTTTAAGAGAATGATAAGTTTTTAATTCTGAGCTTGCACCTTTCTTTTTTCTTTAATTGGGATTTCACTCTTCTTTATTTTCTTCTCTTTTTTCTTTCTTTTTTTTTTTTTTTTCCCTAACTTGGAACAGAAAGTAGAAAATGAAGGAGGGGAAAATACAAAAGAAAAAAAAGTGCAAATGTGGTAATTATCTTTGTCACAGGAAAAAAATCAAAACAAACATTTTAAGAGGACATCTGTGCAGACTTATGTTGTTAGAAAGTCTGTTTTCCCCCTAGTGAAAACCTAATAGGAGACCTTCTGTGGAATCTTTGACAGATGGGCCAGTCTAAAGTGACCTTGTAGTATAACGAAGTTTATAGTATTTACTTACCTTTGCATGGTATTTCTGGAGTAGTATTTCTTAACACACACAAATGCACCTTTGCCTGTAAAACAGCCTTCATCAGTGCCTGAATTTATCAACAGATAGTGCTCACCAGGTTACTTGATTCCTTCTGTCTGGGATGAAATCAGCTCTTTTAACTCCGGTGTTGAATTCCAAGTGATTTCTGTTTTAACATATTTCAGTGTGATTGAGAGCTATCACATCTCACTGACCTACCTGAGCCCAAACATAACGTGGTGTTTGTTCAATGTCATAGTGACTGATATTTTTAAGAGTTCTGTGGACATCCCACAGCTTACATACGTTAATCATGTGCGCTGGGCGTCGTGCTGGATCCAGCTTTTAACTGATTCCCACTCTCATACCTGTTTCTCTTTGTTCTAACCAATTTTTGTTTTCCTCTTCCAGGTTGAGATCTTTGGTAAAGCAGCTAGAAAGAGGGGAAGCTTCGGTTGTAGACCTAAAGAAGAACTTGGAATATGCTGCGACGGTCCTTGAGTCAGTATACATTGATGAAACGAGGTGAGTGAATTACAGGCATCCATGTTTGTCTTCTAGGGAGCACCAATTGCACAGAATTGTAATGCACGCATCTCTTGGGAAAGTTGTAGTCATGATTCACAGAAAATATGATTTTAATTGTTAGAACATTGTATTTCTTGAAAAGCAGATCTTCAGTTCTTGGTCTGAAAACTTCTTGGAGTTTTGTGTGGCAAGGGGGAGATGAAAAAAAATCACAAATTTAACATACATTCTCTTGGAGAAAGATTTTCATAATAATTGTTTTCTAGTTTTTGTGAAAGTTTCTGTGGAAAGCTCAAAATTCATACCCCTCTACTTCTTTTGAATAGAGTTCAATCAATTCACTTTTACCAAATCTTTGAAATTCAGAGGTTTTTTTACTCAAGTTTTTGGTAAAAATTGGCAGATAAGATTTTGCAGGAGAGTTTCCTTTCTTTATGTGCTGTTACCCCAGTGCTGAGTCACCATGTGTGGTCAGAATGGGAGAGGATAGGACTGTGTGATACTCACTGGGAAGTCAGATGTGATTGTCAGTGATCTCTGGCTGGCTGAGAGGTCAGAAATAGTAATGAGCTGAAGACGAGATGTGAGGATGATGATGTAGTTGTGCTTCAGAAGGCTGATGCTTCTTGTTTGTCAGCCTGGTAGTGAATTTCACAATCCAGCACTTAACTACTTGAGAGGATGAACAATCTGTTGTAGCCTTGCAGAAAGAGGTTTCATTAGGCTTTTATTAGAATAGATGTGCATTTCTTTTTGGTTAATGATGTTGCAGTGGTCTCTTATGCAATTTTTTTACCCTTTGCTTTCCTTCCTCTTGTAGGCGTTTACTGGACACAGAAGATGAGCTCAGTGATATCCAATCTGACTCCGTGCCCTCAGAGGTCCGGGACTGGTTGGCTTCCACCTTCACACGGCAAATGGGGATGATGCTCAAAAGGACAGAGGAGAAACCCCGCTTCAGGAGTATTGTCCATGCAGTACAAGCTGGGATATTTGTGGAAAGGTAAAGGAACATGAAATGACTTGGTTCTAGTAGCTGCTCATGCACTGCCAATTGCACCTGCAGTATTGAGACTTAAATATGACTCTGAAGATGTTTCTACAAAGATCTGGTTGGCAAACAGCTTCTAGTACAGTGCAACCTGAAGCAGCACGTGTGGATCTATTTTTTCAGCATAATGCAGATGTAATAGCACAGGTGAAGTAATTTTGACAGAGAATACACACCTCTGAGTAGTCCTAGGTCAACACTCAAAGTTTTTAAAGTTTAGCCAGTTCGCTTCAGGCCCTCCTGTGCCTTTTGACTTCTGTTGTCTATTTTTTTTTTAATGAAGAAGGCAGGAGGGGGTAAGAAATTCTATGATTTAGGTAGTGGGAGAGTTCTCCAGAGGGGCATGACAATTTTTTTTCTCTGTTTGAGAGCAGGATGTGAAAGGGAAGTGAAGGACTTCACACATGATCATGTCAGATGGGAGAAGAAAGCTTTCCATCATCTCTTTTAACTCCTGTGTTTCTGAAGTGCAAAAAAGAGTGAGCTGTGGAAAGTGTTTTAACAGTCAGTATTTGTGAATTCACATAGCTTATTAAAAACAATATGGCCTATAAACAAATATAAATTCCAGTATGTAGTTCAGTGCATTCTTTAGTATGGTTACTGATGTTGATTATGTCCTTCTTCTTTTTCATACACAAACAAAGAACACCTAAAAGGTTTTGAACTGATATTATTTAAAAAAAAAAAGACAGAAAAGTAGTAGTGGTACTGGACTGCAGTTGATGCTTTGCAGACAGCAGATGATTTCTGGAGTACACTGAAAATGGGCTTGAGTGCAGGACAAGCAAGAACTACAGAAACTGAAAGGGAGGTGTGGTTTGCTGCAGTGGAAAACGAGGAACATCTTGTTTACTTGAGTGCAGCCTTTCCCTCTGATGAAGATTTGGTATTAACAGATTCTTCCTAATCTCCAGCCTGGGGACCAAGGTGTGAGATACTGGGAAATCTATGGCCTTGAGCGAGACTCTACCATGAAAGTGGTATAGAGAGCATGTGCACAAGCCAGGAAAAAGAAAGAAAAATTGTAGTTAAAGTTTGTTGGTCTATGCAGGATCTCCTGTAACAGCATAATTTTGTTGTTGTTATATTGTTTAACTTTATTTATATGTTGCCTTATCTATTTTTTCTTGGTAGAATGTACAGACGGACGTCCAATATGGTTGGTTTGAGCTACCCACCAGCTGTAATTGGAGTGCTAAAGGTAATGCCAAAGAGAAGGTGATGGTGGGAGAAGGCTGGGATGCTTGTCCAAAGCATCCGGGTACCACTGTGATGTTTTCTGCGGGGAAGGGAATGTTGGAACTTTGCCTTTTCTTCTTTCTAAGCCTGTTTAGTCAGGCTCAGGTCTGTTGATAATTTCCTGGCCTGTGGGAATATTCTTTGAGTAAAAGAAAGAATAGAGTTCAGAACTTGAAAACGGTCATATCCTTGAAGTTTCCAGCTCTGTTGTAGCGTTCAGCTGCGAAGGTGGCGAGTTAGTAACATGCTGAAATCAATCATGAGTTAGCAGAGGGAAGAATGAAAATGTGGGTGCAGAGAAATGGAGCAGGAAATGCATCAGTGAGTGTGCGAGCAGGGATTTTGTATCACTGTTGAAGGTGACAATCAGCTGTGGAGTAATATTCTGAGAGTTTTGAGATTTTAGTTGAAAAGTGAGAGATCACAAGTAGGCTGAAAGAAACAGATTTCATTCACGGGGAAATGGCAAGGTTCTCAATTTAGGCAGGATACCTGTGTCAGTACCACAAACACAGGTTTGCCACCAGTTATCTGCGCAGCAGCTTTGCTGAGGTGTCGTATTTGTGCAGGAGACAGTTGACTTGTGGTTCAAGCATGGCATGCAGTGGTGGAAAAAATGCATCATCAGAACTAATGTATACAGGGGCATTACACATGTAAAGATTGGGAAGCAGTCCTGCTGTAGTCTACACAGGAAAGATACTCAGGGTACTGAATCCTTCTCAGTTTTGGACAGTACAGTTTATTTATCAGAAGATAGGGAGGATTTGCACAAAGTCCACTGAGTGCCACAAGAATGATCCAACATGACCTTCATTTACAGAATGGAAGCATTCATTCCCCCCTTTTTCCAACCCCAGATTTACACGTGTAATCCTGCAGATGGGATCTCGTGTCTTTCTTCTCTTAGAACAACACCCTGTGGCCAGACTGTGGGAGAACATGCCTGTTATGGTACATCCTCAGCAGTGACAGAGCAATGCAATACTTATCAGCTGTGCTGAGCAGGCATAAGCCTCAGGGCATCCTTCTTCCCTTTCTGTATTTGTAAGATAGTAAAGGTCATAAGCAGTATGGAGCGGGCTAGAGGCAGTAGGACCCCTGAATATCAGCAAAGGCACTGACTAATTTTGCTCCAGGTGAGATAATCCCATCTTGGCCATTCCAGGATGTCTTTTTTTGTTTTTTCCAAAGCTGTTTTGAGAACAAGTCTGTGTCTGGATGTTCTTGTGGTAGGTAATGGCTGTGGCTTAAATAGGAAAGAGTTGTTGAGAAGAAGTGGTCTTTGGAAAGAGACTTTGTCGTATTCTTTTACCAAGTAATATGTGATCTGCTGATCAGTGGTGCTAGAGGCAGAACTTAACATTAACAAGACAAAGTGCAGAGATCTTCTTCTGCTCAGGAAGGATTTCTTTTTTTCAGCCTTTTCTGATGCCCATGCTGTCATGGAACTGTTTTGTTGGTTAGCTAATATGCAGCAAATGTAGTTGCTGACAACGTGATGTAGTGTCTGCAGGCAGGCAGGGTGTGCAGTATCAACATGTACTTGAGTTTGGCTGCAAAGAATTGTCAGGCCAGGAATTGTAGACTCCTAGAATGATGAAATGGTTGAAAAGGACCCCAAGGATCATTTAGTTCCAACCCCCTGCTGTGTGCAGGGTTGCGAACCAGCAGCCCAGGCTGCCCAGAGCCACATCCAGCCTGGCCTTGAATGCCTGCAGGGATGGGGCATCCACAGCCTCCTTGGGCAACCTGTGCCAGTGCCTCACCAGCCTCTGGGTGAAAAACTTGCTCCTCATATCCAACCTGAACCTCCCCTGTCTCAGTTTACAACCATTCCCCTTGTCTTATCACCATCCACCCTTGCAAACAGCCGTTCTCCCTCCTGTTTCTACGCTCCCTTCAAGCACTGAAGGTCACCATGAGGTCTCGTTAGAGCCTTCTCTTCTCCAAGCTGAACAAGCCCAGTTCCCTCAGCCTTTCCTCATAGGAGAGGTGCTGCAGCCCTCTGATCATCTTGGTGGCCCTCGTCTGGACCCGCTCCAGTAGCACTGCATCTTTCTGGTGCTGCACCATCAGTGATGTCATGTTGAACAGCAAATGAGCTGTCCCTAAATCAGCTGGCTGATAAAACCAGTCAAGGCTCTAAGGTTAGCAGATGGAAAGGCAAATATACGGAACATTGAGGAAGAACTGCAGTTGGGCCAACTCTTGGTTCGGCCAGGAAGTGGAGCAAAGGTCAAATTGAAGACCAAAATGAATAGAAGATGGCCTTATGACTGTAGCTGCATCGCAGTGCCTATAGATAGCATGAGAGCACTTTGTGACATTTCATCGGAGGCTGCAGGGCCAGGGAGCTGGAAATGTGTAGCCCAGGAACTTTCCCCATCCCTTGCTTCTCCTGCTCTCTTCACTGACAACAGTTCTTGTCCTCCCCCACGAGGTGCCTGTAAAGTTCTGCTTCCCTTCCGATTTCTCTCCAACATGGACATCACATCTGTGCTCAGCTTTTATAGGATGAAAAAATGCTCTGATTTTCCAAGTGTTGCTGGTGCTGCAGGCCTCTGAGCAAAGGGTGACACTGTCTTGTTTCCTTAAGGGGACATTTTTCCCTTGGTATTTAGAGTGAAATGCTACTGTCCTGATTGTCAAGAATATTTCCCTTGGTGCAATGGAAATGACTCAGCAGTCAAACTTAGTGTCTGCTTGGCTATTGCCACTGTGCAGTGCAGAAGAAGAATATTTTGCCATTTTGGAATTCAGTTCATGTTATCTGCCGCAAGAGCACAACATTACTGCAATGAAAAGACATGTAAAGAAACAGCAACCTTTATTTCTACACAACAGACTATTTCTATAAGAAAGAGTGATTTCTTATTGAATATAGTGAGACATTATTTTCAACTTCATAGGAACTAGAAGGAACTACTATTTTTTAATTAATTCTATAATAAATACCAATTTAAATGTAAAGTCTATAATGTATTTAAATTATAAAACTAAATTCTATTACTGTATATTATACATCTAATTATATGACTCTTATGGATATGCAATCATGAAATGCTACTGCTTCTTAACTGAGGCAAAATGAAAACAGTCCAAGAAGGGCGTAGGAGTAGGAGAGAAGGTTTCCGGGTGTTTCTGGAGCATCCTCTTGGAGCTGGAGGTGCATTAGAGAGAGTGAGCGCTGTCAGCTCATGCTGCCATCCATGGGAGTTGCAACCTTCTGCAAGAGATTTGATACGTTATAATGTAGCTTTATGAGTTGGGAATTGAACTCGTCTTCTTCCGTCTCTTGACTGAGCCCCCTGCAGCGTTAGTAGAGGATTTACAGCCAACTGTAACCTTCTCAACTGCAGTTAGATATTTACTTGTATGTTATAAGGATCATTTTTCATACCACTGTTAGCATGTAATGTAGCATTACTATGAGAAACCCCAGTTAACTCACTTGTCTTCAAGAAGAAAGAAAAGAAAATTAAAAACACGCCTACTATTGAAAAGAGAATCATGCTGTCTTTGGGCAATTAAAGCTGCAGTAGTCAGAAGGAACTGGGATCTCTTTGGGTCAAGCAAGGTAGGTTGAGATATTTTTTTCACTGGTTCACTGTGCAGCAGGTGATGAAAATATGAGCACAGGCCAGTATGCAAGTGCCCATAACCATATTTCCTTGATGAAGGCAAGCTAAGGTGTTTTTTGCACGTAGCCTTTGCTGGTTCAATTGGTGAATCCCTGTGACTTGAATAGGCAAGTAACTGAAGTTTTGAATAGAAACTTCTTCACTGTGAGTCGTACTGTACTGATGAGTAAATTAGCCTCTGTACTGGTGAAGTGAAGGGGAGAATGTTTTCAGTGAAATCTGTACCCTCTCATCATCCATATGTAGATATAAAGTGATAGACATTGAAATGTGATGGTGAAATGGATGATCAGATTAACATTCTTTTCTATTCATTCTTGCAGAATGTAGACAAGTGGTCCTTTGATGTATTTGCACTAAACGATGCCAGTGGAGATCATGCACTGAAGTTCATTTTCTATGAACTTCTCACGCGCTATGATCTGATCAGTCGTTTCAAGGTCAGTAGTTACAAGATGGGTCTCTTCTTCCATCTTGCATTTTCTCATATCTCATTCTTATTCTGCTTTGTTCTATTCAGAGTGCAATGATTTTAGCAGTATTTGAAAGTGTATGTGAAGACTTGGCAGTCACTGTCATTCCCCCTAAACGGGGAAGAGAATCTTTCTGCAGCAACCAGGACCAAACGTCCTTCAGGTAGAACATTTAATTGCGATAGGACAGCATGAAGCAGGTGGAGTTCCACACAGTCTTATTCATGACATGCAGAGGCAATGGTACTGTAATTCTCCCAGTATTCTTATGCATCTGAAAGCATGCAAGCCAAAAATGACAACTTGGTTTGCTACAGGTTTCAGAAATGAAATGCTATTTAAGGGGGAGTAAAAGGTACTCCATATCTTCTCCTTTGAACAGTTCCTTTGTAACTATGAACAGAGTGACATTTGGGTCACTGCAGCATTGCCCTGAGATGTTTCCCATTCTCCCCACCCAAAGATTCCATGTTCCCTTTCTCTGCTGACACTTACTGTGGCAGGACTCCTACTTCCTTCGATTCCTGGGCTACTTCGTGGACTTGTCACGCCTGCTGAGAAATGGTTGAAGATGAGAACAGATTAGAACTGCATTGTCCCATACTCCAGAGGGAAACAGCTGTGCAACTCTCATGACAGAACGAGAGAGGTTTAGGGTACAGCATACAGTTGTACTCTGGGAGCCAGAAAAGCATGGTAAACTCATTGTATGGGAAGTCTGGCTTAGGCAGTAAAAAACCAAAAGTATGATAAACAGTACTCCTCATCATGGAGTATCTCAGACTTGCTATATGATGCATATCCTTACAAACCTCTAGAATATGAGTAGTAAAGTAGTGATGTATACCTGATTGTTGTGAGAGGATGAGACAGACGTGTGTGTCCTGAACAGAAATATTTCTCCAGGAACAGCACACCAGCTACGCTCTGTTACTTGTGGCACTGCTTGTGTTTTGCAGGCAGCGTTTCACAGTGGACTGAGTTGCGTATGTTTAAGTGCATGTGTGCTTCATCCATCATGTAATGAGGGATGGGAAAGCCATTTTGAGGAAGTGAGCTTGATTCACTCTCTCTCTGGAGTACTTGTTGAAGGTGTTTACAGATGGTATTTATTTGGGAAGTGCAATCAGTACAGACTGCTCTTTGGAGCCTCTCCTCCAACTGCTAGCTATTACAGGTGATTCTTTGATTTGTAATTGTGTGCTTCTTTTCTTAGATCCCCATTTCTGCCCTGGTGTCCTTTGTGGAAGCTCTGGAGGTTGGATACAGCAAACACAAAAATCCTTATCACAACCTAATGCATGCTGCCGATGTGACACAAACAGTCCATTACCTCCTTTTCAAGACAGGTGTAGTGGTACGTACAGGAGTTGGCATCCTTAGTACATAATGAAATGCAGTAGTTTTTGTTTGGTAAGGAGATGATCATTATCCACAGCAGAGCCATTTGTGCTGTAGAAACAATGTAATTTGCAGGGGCTGTGCTAATGCAAGTAGGCATTTGGGATTCCTTGGAAGAATTTGGGTGAGGATATGGGTAACTGTTGTAATTGATGGGAGAGAGGATGAGTGAAAAAGGCAAGCTGAATTCTCCCCTCTGCCATCAATCTGCTGGCTGAGTCTAGCAAGTCAGTTTGTTGGGATTTCATTTCCCTTTCTGTGAAGAAATAAATTGCCTAAGCTTTCTTCAGAATACAAAATGAAGTAATGTATTGCTTAACCCAGTCTGGCACCCCTTTTCAAGCTATTGCTCACCTTTTTCTCTTGCTGTCCGGTCCTCGGCGCTGTCTCTTGAGTCCACGTGGAGGTGGATCCACCTCCATCGGCTGCTGCTCCTCTGGAGGTGAATCCACCTCCATTGGCTCCTCTTCCTCTGGAGGTGGATCCACCTCCATGGGCTCCTCTGCCTCTGGAGATGGATCCACCTCCATTGGCTCAACTTTCCATCTCCTCCCCATGAGTTTCCTCTTTTTCTGGGGAGGAGGATCCATCTTTATGAGGTGCTTCTCTGCCTCTTGCTGTTGGTGTGGCAGTTGGAGGGCTCGGAACACGAGGCAGTGACATCAGCAGAGTTCCATGGCAACCCAAAAACAAGAGTTTTTGGAGTTGGGGCCTATGGCCTGAGAGTTGCCCCAATTTTGAAGGAGAAGGAAGGACCTGGAGAACTGAAGGACTGTGTCCTGGGAAGGGCTCATCTGTTGCATTGTGCTTGCCCGAGAGAATTAGTGGCACTTGGGCCAGAGGCCCCGTGGAGACTCCCTTTCTTCATCCCGTGCCTCCAATCCATTTGTACTGATGAGTGGGAGGTAGAGGGTCCTCTTCCTGGCAGCAGCTGGGCTCCTGCAAGTGGAGGCAGCCTGTTGCCCAGCCGTAGCGAGGAGGAGACAAAGGATGCTTGCACCCCACACTCAGCCTAGGGACATGCAGTCAATAAAGAACTGCTGAATTTGCAGGGTGATGTGAGTTCTCCTTTGCTGTCCTTCACCTCTGCCCCTGCAGCGTGGAGGAGGTAATGTTTATGTGCCCTGATCCCCAAGGGAGAGCAGTGGGGAAGAGATGGCCTGGTGTCCTCTGAGTGGCTGTGCTGGAATGGAGTGATGGGTCCATTGGAGGGTCTGTGAGATCCTTGAGGCCTACTGGTGGCTTTTTCACTCTGAGGATGAGAGGGCTGATTTGGGATTGCTATCCTAAGTGTTTTCTCCCTCCAGCTACTGAATGTGCGGCTGAGAGTGGAATCAGGCCACACATGGCAGTCATGAAGAATAGCTGGAGATCAATTGAGCCTCCAGATAAGAAATTAGGACAGATTTCATCTCTGGATCTCTGCTTCTCTGGAGTAGTGATCTTGAGAAGGGGCTGAGGGGCAGAGGCCCAGTTCCATAGATGCTTATCCCCATCAGGTGATCCTTACTGTACCTCAAGCAGCATGAAAGTGTTCACAGGCCAACATCGTGTGAAGAGGAAAGGGAGGTGTTTCTGTCACGTGCGATGACTAAATTACAACTGGCATGCCAAGAAACTGTGCAGCTTCTTGTTGAACTAAGGAAAATTAAACTGTTTTTGTTGGTGTTTCTGACAACGGTGTCGTCTTGTCTTTCCACCGCTGTTGCCCTGTTAGAAAAGTCAGGCTTTGCCTTGTTACACACTCCCAGTAATTTTGAGGAAGGAGGAGGAACGCTGGTTCTAAGGGCACGTGTCCTGGGGCTGGCTTCCCACTGCCTGTTTTTCCACTTGCCAGTGAGAATAGATACTTCCTGGGCTCTGGGACTGCCCTTCATTTCATCTGGTGTTCTTAGGGTTCCAGCTCCTTGTTCATACCCTTCCTGGGCTTGCCTAAGAAAGCTGTCAACTCTCAGTTATTTTGCTCTCTCCTTTTTTTTTTTTTAATGCCCCTGCGCACACCTTATCTTTAGAGGATTAGTTTTCAGTTCTTTGTAGCATATTCTTACTGGCTTTTAAGTGGCAGAGATGGTTCAGGTGTGGTGAAGGTGCTGATGACTGCTATAATTTTCATGTCATAATAACCAGTATGGCTGAGGCAGATCTCAGCACTCTTTTTTCTTATTCATTTCATCAGTGGTTTTTTTGTTTTTTTTTTAAATGTCACATGACCAGATCCAAAATATGGGATAGGTTTGTCTTGTAGTAGTCAGTAGGTGAATTTTCTATTGGGCATTTCCTTGGCCTATTTTGCTAGGCATTGCTTTGCTGGACAATGTTCTGCTGCAGTCACACCTCTGAATACTTGCCCTGTTGCAAGTTTGAGTCTCTGGAGGTAACGAACTCCAGGGTGTGTCTTCTGTATCAGCTTGATGTTCCTGATCGATGATTGAAGTTTAATCTTCTTTTCCTTTTCACTATTTTGCACTGTTTCTTCTTTTCTTTTAAGCAGACTTATGCTACATTTTAAAAAAAGGCTTATGTTATTTTTCTTCCAATGAATTCTTCTTTTGTGTTTGAATTACTATTCAAGTGAATAGAACTTTGATTCTCCATGGAACTCCTTCCTGAATATAAGACTGAGCTTGTCAACTAGAGTATAAAGGACAAGAAGATAAATTGGAAATAGCAGGGAGATCTCTGACTTTATAATCCCACCAAGAACACCACTAGTGAGAATTGTGTCTTCCCAATATATCAGTAATAATATTCATAAAGCCTGTACATCCTGTGCTGTGCCTGTGTGATTCCAAAGCAGTGGGAAGACTTTTGAAAAAGGCATAGCCTCTTAACTTATTTCTGTTTGGAGACTAGAGAATATATTTTCTTGAAGTTAAAGAAGGTAAACTCTTTCACTTTATTAGCTTTTCCTCTGCTGTATGGACAACACTTCTCTGAAATAAAGGGGTCAGCCCAGATTAAAGACAATTCATTCTGAAGGTGTTTCATGTCAAGCATTAAGTGGTTCTTGCACATTATTAATGTCATTAAATAAAGTCCAGTAACATCTCAGTGGAAACACGTCTTGCAGACAGTTTCTGGGTTCTAATTAGCCAAGGCTGCTATATGCAATTCACCATAATGTAGGCATTGGGCTAGTTCAGCCTGGAGAAGAGAAGGCTGCAGTGTGATCTCATTGCAGCCTTCCAGTACCTAAAGGGAGCCTACAAACAGGAGGAAAGTAAACTTTTTACAAGGGTAGATAATGGCAGGACATGGGGAAATGGTTTTAAATTGAAGGAGGGAAGATTTAGGTTGAATGTCAGGGGGAAGTCCTTTACCAAGAGTGTGGTGAGGTGCTGGAACAGGCTGCCCAGAGAGCTAGTGGATGAACTCTCCCTGGAGGTGATCAAGGCCGTGTTGGGTAGGGCCCTGGGCAGCCTGGTCTAGTATTAGATATGGAGTGTTGGCTGCTCTGCCTGTGACAGGGGCGTTGGAGCTTGATGATCCTTGAGGTCCCTTCCAACTCAAGCCATTCTATGATTCTGTCAACTTAAGGGAGAAACAACTTCTCAAATTTTTGAGTGCTGACTTGAGTCAGAGCAAATTAACAGCCTTGTGTATCCCAGTCTCCAGTCTGACAGAGAAGCAGAAGCAAAAAAAAAACCACTGAATACCTGTCTTCAGTTATTTTAAGATCTTCTCTCACATGCTTACCAATGTCTAGTAAATTACCTATGCCCACCCACTTTTCAAAGTCAACAAGCTGTGATGCTTGTTTAGAAGTGTCTGGGAGGTGCAGGGACCTCTATCAGAGGTCATACACATCTTTAGTATTATGTAGGTCCATCCAAAAGTAATGCCTCCTACTTATTTTAATGGAAATCGTAACAGCTACAAAGAGCGCAGTAACACTGTTTAGTTGAGCAAATTCTCAGCTACAAAGCACTGTTTTTCAAAACAGTCCCCACCATTATTAACTAAGAATTTTTACCAGCAGAGAAGAAGAGCCTGCATGCTTCACTCAGCAAAATGTGCTCCAGCAGAGGTGACCTACTGTTGCCGCTGCTGAAATGCGTATCACCCATTGCCTCACTGTGCTCACATCCCCTGTTCCGTCCCTGTAATTGTTCAGGAAGTGCTGATGAGTGTCAATGGGTGCCATTTTTTCTCTGTGAGGGAATTCAGTGACTGACCTTTTCCTTTTCTTCATGCACACTTCCACGTGAGACACAGTGAATTTGCTCTGCTAGTTCTTTTTTCCTCACTGTTATTATCAAAAGATTGTTGCTTGAAAGCCAGAATCATGTTTTGTCAGCTGTGTAGCATTCCTTAGTCAAAAGTCACTCCTGAACATAAAGCATCATGAATATGTCTCAGCATCAGTGCTCTTTGTTCCTGTCCTCAACCAATTGTGTAATAAGCAGAAAGTCATTTAATTGCTGTGTCTGCTTGTGTCTTGAGCTCTTTACTCTCCCACTTAAAAAATAATAATAATAATAAAAATAATTATATATATATATATATAAATACCTTTGAGCTGTATGTGTAATGTCGAGTCTAGCTTCATTCTCCATCTGCACGGACACAAATGTTTGGGACTGTCTCCAGCAAACTGACTGTTCCAGGGATTATGACAACAAATGCTACAAAAATGCTTTGTGGGTGCTGTGATTGTGCATCGATGACTGTGAAATTCAGGAGAAGAGCTGGACAGGTAGCTGTGTGCAGAGTCCTACAGTTCTCAGTTCTTCTTCTGCTTGTATTTAGCAGACCAGGGGTAACCCGTGAGCTACAGCACACATCTAGAAGAAATTTACAAAACCATACTACCTTTAATGGGGTTTGAGTTGAAAGGTAGTTCTTACATGTTTACAGGCTTACAGTGTGCTGTTACAAAAACATTTAGCAACCACTATGGTAAAGGCTTTATTCAAATTATTGGAGCATTTTGTACAAATATTTACAGCATCTACAGTATCAAGAGGCTTCGTCTCTGATGTGCTTGATCTCAACAGCACCCCTTACCTTGCTACCTGTGGGAAAAAAAGGCATGAAATCATTGGTTGATGCAGAGGGGCATTATTAAAAGAATCTGATTAATTTAGAAATCAAAAGTAACAATGTTGAAAATATGACTTTGACCAGGCAATTAGGGACAAAAAAAAAGGGAAACAATCTCAGGACTTTATCAGCTATTTCTATCAATGATGAATAACAAGATACACATCTTGTGAGACTGTTTCCTGTGCTCCTTATAGTTCAGGGATTGACAGAAACTCCTCTGATTAGTGGAAATTAGTGATATTTTTCTGTATTTGAGGCTCTGTTGCAAAGTTGAAGCAAGCTGAAAATACATACCTTGGTGGTATGTGCACAAATGTGCATGTATTAGTAAGTTCTTATTGGAAAAAAAAAAAAAAGGGGTATTCTTGAGATTTTCCTTCTTTCTTCCTGGGATTTTCCTCTCTTTCTTCCTCACACGTTGTTCTTTAAGAACGGTAACTGTTTCCCCTCATTGTGATTTAAGTGTTTTTGTTTGTTCTTGAAGCTGTTTTGCTGAAGTTCAGTTTATTTAGATGAAATGTCGGGAAAAACACCGATTCAGCTTAGGTGTATCAGCCAGATAAATTTGCTTTAAAACAGCTGGCAGGCTGAGGGGGGAAGGCAAGGATGTGCAGCACTGACTGTAAGTGGGGGATAACTTGCCTTAAAAGACAAGAGCCTGAATGCCTGGAAAAATGATCTGATTGCTCTCTAATTTCTTTTCAGCATTGGTTGACAGAGCTGGAGATCTTCGCCATGATCTTTGCAGCTGCTATCCATGATTATGAACACACAGGAACCACCAACAATTTTCACATCCAAACACGGTGAGGCCATCGTAAATCATGATGCGTGGTTGGGGAAGCTTTTAGAAAATAACAGCACAGCCACATAGAAAAACGTAGAAGCTTTTGCCCCCAAGTGATGCAGGAGGAAAGTTCACTTCCCTACACTGCATTTAATTTTCTCTTACTCAACCATTTTCAACTGTATGCCTGTATTATAGATTTCTGACCATTGTGTCATATTAATAATCATGAAAAAGGGGAGGTCCCAAAATATCTCTGTGTGAAATTGCTGAAGACTAATTGTTATGCAGCTTGATCTATTTGGTCAAAGAGACCGTTTTGAAGGAGGTATTATAATTCAAAAGCTCAGCAGTATCTGCATTTGTCAGTACACACCAGCACGATATATAGTGTTCTTACTGGAAAAACATACTGCTGAAAGGTGGGGATATGTTTGCACTGCCTGTTTGGAAGTAAGTCCTTGCACTCACATCTTAAATCTTTGTAAATTCCTGGAGAATTTACAATCAGCTGATCACAGACTATACTGGACTGGCATTATTGTTGATCTCAGAGTCTTCTGTAGGGCTTTTGAGATTGATGGAAGAGAGGTATGAAGAAGATGGCAAAATTAGAAAGCGTGCCAGTATTGTGAAATGTCTAGCTGCAGTGATAATGAGGCATCTAATCTGTGTGTTATTTTGACAGTGTAAGTCTGCTGGTAGCACTGACAAACTAAGTGTCCTTGACTGACATAGCATACTTGGACATTTCTAAGATGCACTGCAACTTACCCTAAATTGCACATCTGGATTGTGGCAGCTGAATCATGCTATGTGTTGCAGATATATCAAGGACGCTAGGATAGATCACACATATGCTCAAGAAGGTTTTGGAGCACTGGAGGAAATTTCTGTCTGTGTTGTAGGATAAGGCAGACTCCACTTCTCACAGCTTCTTATATGCAAGAATTAGGGATCTGCTATATTTCCAAAGTAGAAAATAGCAATAGAAAAGCTCAGTTGTAATGTATGGTTTGTGACATTGAACAACAGAGGATCTAAAATGCTAAAAATTTACACTGCTCACTGGGAAGCAGGACTGAGAGAGGACTACAATGAATCGTACTCAATCTCTCTTGCCATAAACTTCAAGTCTTCAGAACAGCTAAGCTATCCAGCAATTTCAGATCTTTAACATGGAGCCTAAAATTAGATGTGTAGTACCTTTGGTCTTATACTATCCCACTGGGATTTGCCCTTCTGTACAGCATAGCTAGGTGCACAGATAACTGAAAGCAGCTCAGTTATGTCTTGCTTATGGCCTATTTACTATTCTGGGAACAGTATGAGAACACATCTCATAATTTCATATTTGGCTACACTCAGACTTCAATTTCAGAGCAATATACACAAGAACTGGAAAGGAGCCTTGTGATTCAGCCCTAAATTTACATTATATCTCTCAGTTAGAAAGCTTTTAGTATCCTTTTCTAATGTAACATAAGACTAGGTGAGTCTGAGCAGATGAAATAGATTTTGTGGTGAATTTTCATCTTTAGTTTTCTTTTAATGAGTAACAACAACGAATAAAGTATCACAAGCACTCCCAAAACACTTATATCTGTGCTATAGGAACTAACCTCTGTAGCTGAGCAAAGAAAAGCTTTTGAATATGAGATACTTGAGATAAGGAAGAAACATAACCTTCCTTTGTTTCCTTTCTAATCCTAGGTCAGACTCAGCCATTCTGTATAATGACCGATCTGTGCTTGAAAATCACCATGTTAGTGCAGCATATCGTCTTTTACAAGATGATGAAGAGATGAATATTTTATCTAATCTCTCAAAAGATGACTGGAGGTAAGCATGAACATGGTAGCTGCTTCAGAATATTGCACTGCCACCACAGACTGTTATTGCTTTGTTTGAGTAGCAGTATGCATCAGTGTGTATTGTGCATTAGCATTTCTGCTGCTAAGAGAGAAACAAAAGAAAAAAAAGCTCTATAAAGTGTTGACTTGCATATTTCTATACTTGGTTCTCACCTCAGATAGTAGTCAGACTAGGAATTTGTTGAAATGGATAATAATATACAGTTTGACTCCCATGTAATTTCAGCATCTCACAGAAACACCTTTTGTAGACATCTGTTTCTAAATGAGTGAAGAGGTAGGTTGCTGTTGCTGTTTGTTCATGCAAAATCATCAAGATACCCTTCATCTGTTTTGATGCTCCTTGCCTGGAAATTACATATGGAATGGAATGCAAATAAGAATCAAGTCCAAGGACCATGAATCAGTGTACCATATAAGCCAAAGTGATATAAGAAGCTATAATTTAAATTAAGCTCTGCAACATAGGATTTATGTGCCAAAATCAGTCCACAACTTGTTTTCTAATAGCAGACAATTCAAACTAATGAGGGCTTTTTTTTTTTCTGTAGGGGATTTTGAACTCCAAGAAGTAGTACCTTAAAAGTAGCCCTGTCTGTCAGACAGAAAGAAATCCTGGTCCACAGTCTTTCTCATAGGAGGGACTTGTAGGATCTTATATGCAGCACGGTGCTTCCCCCATGCACCTAAATTTGCTACAGTAATGAGCTGTCAGTTCATCTTACAGGAAATTAGCTTTGGTCTAGGGATTGGCTTCTGGTATGCTGGCCAATGACTGTGCTTCGTAATGTCTTTCACCTGCATTTCCTGTTTGTTTGACTTGTGGACAGTGATATAATCCTGTAGCTGAACAGTGGAAGACAATTTAAGAACTTAAACAGCTGGTTTCAATCAGTGTGAGTGTTGTGGAGCAGCAGCTTGAGAAATCCTGCCTGCCCATATAATCTTAGCATGGACAAGAAATATGAACTGCATTGAGATGTTAAAAATCTATTTATCTATTTGTTTATTTATTTTAGCTACGATTGGTAATGCCTTGTACAGTATTGGCAGCAAATTGCTGCTTGCCTTTGCATTGGTAGGGGAAACACAAGGAACTATCTGATTAGAAGGGGCAGCCCTAGAGCCACTGTTCATACGGATCAGTGGAGCAGCTGCTTGAGAATGCTTCACTGCAGGAATGCTGTCTTCAGGAAAGCAGTCTGCTTTGAGGCTTTACACTGTTTGTGGTTGGATGAAAACTAAGTTCAGATGTTTCTTGTTAATTCCCTTGTGTCAAAATGTGTGTTCTGTTGAGGTATATGTTTAGACTGAAGGTTTCAAAGATTATCACTTCTCCTTTTTATGAATTATTGTATCTGCCTGAATAAAAATATTGAGCTGTTTAGATTGCTTAGTTTTCCTGTCTAAGTAGGGCTGTATTATTTTGTAACTGCTGATCCAGCAGCAGCTGCAGGATAAAAATCATTATTTTAATGTGCTGTAATGCCAAAAAGCGATTCTCATGTGTCTTTGCTTTTGACTACTGGTTTGAAATCCCATAGGCAAGCATTTGGAAGGCACTGGAAGCATCAGCTAACTTCATCAGGATCTCAGATGCTGAGAAAAAAAACAAACACACAGTTTCTCAGACTGGTACTCAGAAATAGGACTTTCAGTATCAGTAGGACTGAAAGCATGAAAGTACGCTTTAGAGAACTGTTAAAACATGTCCAGATCTAATAGTATTTTCGTAGACGTACTTGAGTAATCTCTTTCAGCAAAAAGTCCAAATGCTAGCTCCTGGAAATCAAATTCTTAAATGCAGTTTTGACCTGAGCTCTCATTTCATTTTGACATTATTAATAAGAGAAGACCTGATGATCAGTTCGTCACACAATCCTACATGTATGGAGAAGGTTGAGGGAACTGGGCTTGTTTAGCTTGGGGAAGAGAAGGCTCTGAGGAGACCTCCTTGTGGCCTTCCAGTACTTGAAGGGAGCATAGAAACAGGAGGGGGAACAGTTGTCTACAAGGGTGTATGGTGACAGGACAAGGGGAATGGTTTTAAACTGAGACAGGGGAGGTTTAGGTTGGATATGAGGAGGAAGTTTTTCAGCCAGAGGGTGGTGAGGCACTGGCACAGGTTGCCCAAGGAGGCTGTGGATGCCCCATCCCTGCAGGCATTCAAGGCCAGGCTGGATGTGGCTCTGGGCAGCCTGGGCTGCTGGTTGGTGACCTGCACACAGGTGGAGGTTGGAACTGGGTGAGCATTGTGCTCCTTTGCAACCCAGGCCGTTCTATGATTCTGTGATATATATGTGGATTTCATCAGTTTTGTGTTATTTGGTCATCTAGTTCAGGACTGTATTCACTGGAAAGAAATGCAGGAGATTAGAGCTAGCTGTCACAGCTACAACAGAAATGGGTATAGGTTTTTTAGGAGAAGCTGATGAGACTGAAAGAGATTTTTTTGGCTACAGTCAAGAAGAAAGATGAATGCTTACTAGGACTTAAACAGTGTTTTACTCTCCTTGTTAAATATTTGAAAGTGAGTTGCCTCATTTGATGAATCCCATTTGTGCAAGTCATTAGCAAGTAAATGAAGAAACTGTATGAAAAACAGATCACAGTGATTTAAGAAAGCAAACTGCAAAGTGAACAGATGCTTTCCAAGATATGACTAAAGATGTATTTTCTGGCTCTGTAGTTCTTTGCTAATAATTTCCATGTTGTTTATTGAAGTAGAGTATACTTAGTGCAAGCCCTTTACTGTCAAGTACCGGATTAAAAATGCATCTGGAAAATGTTTAACTCTGAAACTGAATCAGAGTGCAGCTTCAGGAAGTGACCTTTCATGCAAAACTGATTGTGTCAGTAAAGTTGCTTGGGCTTTTGTTCCTCAGATAATTTTGAGTCCTCTTCGTCAATCATTGTTATTCCTTTAGAGTCTTTAGAGTCCTTTAGAGTCTTTAGAGTCTTTAGAGCAGTGAGAAACCTGGAATGGTTCTAAATGAAGACAACTTTAGTCAGTCTTCTTCTGTATGTAACAGCAGATACATGGCTGCATAATCACAAACTTTTCTTGTAAATTTTTTTTTCCCTCTGTATCCAGGATGGATGCATGCTTATGCTGAATGTTACACCTTTAGTGTGTGTCAGCCATTGAAAATGCTTCCTTGAAGGTAGCATTTTTCCTTCTATTAATTTTCACAGGAGTAAAGGCTTATACTATGTAAACTGGGTGAAATATCTCACTACAGGATATCTCACCTATTTCTTAGCATAGGGATTAGGTGATGTAAAGCAGTCATTTTCCTGTCCTTTTCCCTCGTATGTATGGAGATGGGAGCCTTTTGCTAGAATGTGGCTCTGAGGTGAACACTAACATGGAGCAAAGATGCATCCAGCAAAATGTCCAATAAAATGACATCATGTTCTCTGAGCCAAAAAAGGTAAAGGCATGTAATAGTTATTCTTAAGAGCAAATACGGATGTTTGCCAAATGGAGATCAGTGCAAGACTTGGAAGTACTTAGGTGTAAAGTCATCCAAAGTCTTGCCTGGCTCAGCAGTCATTAGTACAGAGACTATGCAACTGTGCTTGATGACAGAACTGTGCCAGACACCATGTTTTCATGGGCATCACCTGCAGGATATTTGTGTAGCAGTAATGAAATAGGAAATTCACTCCAGGTTTTCCTCTTCTCCAAATTGCTTTTCCTGGTACCACTCTCTCCACCTAATTGTAGCCTTCCCTAATTCTGCAGGGGCTGGTAAAAGACATGGAAAAGTTATCTTAGAATTTATCCTCAAATGTGATAACTTTGTACTTTTTTCTTAGGGTTAGGTTATAGATGTGAGAATATTGTGTCTCCATGGCTCCTGGCTTCTGGCCTTGGGGAAATGTATATCTGCCATGAGATAAAGCATCTGAAAATGTAATGAGGACTATTAAAATCCCCAATTAGTCAGACAAGCAGCACAGCCAGATCTGTAAAACAGACTTTGTGTCCACAAGGGATCTTCAGTTGAGGGGATAGGCAAGAAAACCCATTCCCAGGTCCTTAGTATTCTAATAGTGACCACTTTCACATGGTTGTAGTTTTGTTACCACAAGCTTTTGAGCCTTGTATCAAGATTAACCGTTTAGACCACTTGATTTTAGTGCATATTGCACTGATCCATCGGGCTGCTTGCAAAAGCACTATTTAAAATGTTTTCAAATTTCTCTGGAACACAGAAGTTTCTAACAACGTTGTGGAAAAGTACGGACTTAATAGATGTGTGTGTTCATCAGGCATCTGTTGGTTTTCCCATTAAATTATTACTTTGTTGTTGTACTCTTGGCTGCATTACGTTAAACTCGAATTTCAGCCCACGTTTTCTGTCATCCACACCGGCTTTTGCTCTGTCTCTGGCTTGGAGTACATTGACTTGCTCTCCAGTTCTTGGGATTCCAGTCCTTGTTCCACAAATGTTTTAAGCTGCCATTTGCCAGCACTGTTGCTAAAAGAAACAGTTTCTCCTCTCCTTTGTATTAACAGAGAGGTTTTTGTTGCTGGGAATGTATCAGTCGAGGGAACTGACCAGGACTAAGCTTGTTTCCAACCACCCTGTAATTTCTTTGAATGCTGTTGCAAGTGCTTGTACTTGAGGGTGAGGAGGGGGAGGTAGGTTTGCTTGTGGAGAGTGAGGACAACTGATTCGGTTTTAATGTGTGTGCAGAACTCTTGAGGGGGCATGTTATGTGACACCCATGGGATTGAGTAGGCACCGACGTCTTGGGTCTCTAAGCAGTGGGTGGCCTGGGGCTAGAACTTGAGTACAGCCACTAGAGGCAGGAGAGACATACCCAAAATAGACTGTCTCCTTCATGAAGGATTCATGAAAAGAATGGTAACTTTTATTTTTAAATGAAAACTGATCCATTTCTGAATATCCCAAATCCGTAGCTGGTAAGCTAACCTTGGGCTATTCTATTAAGCCACGAGCAGCAGAATTGAAGAAAGAAAAAAGAAATCTATATTGTATGCTAGATCAGAGAGTTCTGATATTTTAAAATTTCTAGGACATCCACACTATCTTCAAAGGAATTCCTAAGATCCTGAAAAGTTTGTTTAACAAAAATTTGTGCTGGAATAGTTTGAATGAGCAATGTCAGGGAAGTAGTGCAGGTTCTCAGAACTCTTGAATGTATATATATATATATATATATATATATAAAATATTTACTAGGAGATGCTTTTTAACATGCTGTTTTTCAACATGTTATTTTCTCCTCTAATAATAGAGCTAAGCTTTCAGTAAAGGTTTTGACCAGTTTTAGTTAACTGGATAGAAATACAAGTTCAAAAATTCACCTGATTCATGCCGTATCTTTAAACAGTCTGTTTGCTTTATTCCAAGAATGCTTTATAAAGAAATAAATTCAAAAGATTTATTCTTAAGTGAGAAAGGAAGTGTACTGATACTGATACTTTTCACAAATGAAACTTCATTTGCAGCCCTGCCACTGTTGTGTTTGTAGAAAATCATTCATCTTTCTCCCTCAATCTGAAAGAGTGACATAAGAAATCAGGAATGCTGTTGGTGAATTTGCAGATAACAACAGAAGGTGGAGTGTGTCTGAAGCTGGTTTTTGTGTTTCTTTTTCCTTGCTTCTCTCATCATGATGCCATTCAAAAGGGAGTTCAGGGCTCTGGTGATTGAGATGGTGTTAGCCACCGATATGTCCTGTCACTTCCAGCAAATCAAAGCCATGAAGAATGCTTTGCAGCAGCCAGAAGGGTGAGTCACTTCACAGCAGTGTGCACTGAGGGGCTTCATTTCAGCTTGTGCTTTGCCGTTATGTTTAACTTCAAAAACACCCCTCCAGAGGCCCTCACTCTCCTTGATGTGCACCTCACTTCTGTTTCTGCTGTTGAATTTTGAATGAATTCACTTAGGAGTGGACAAGCACTACCTACACACAAATCTCTCTTCTGTGTTGGTGGACCAAAGCTTGCAAAGGTCACTGTGTTGGGGTAAGCTTCCCTAGTCATTTTCCTTTGCATATGAGGACATGATCCAATCAACATGGACATGATCCATCAAGGACATGATCCATCAAGGACATGATCCAATGAACAAACTCTACCAACTGAGTAGGACTCTGGGATATACAAAACACAATCAGTGTGTCTTTCTGCAGATGGTAGCAGCAGCCGCCATGGCAAGGGGCCTGCTCCATAACAAGGGGAAAGACGAAAACAATCTGAGGTGCATCAAAGGAAAGACTGGAAAAGAACAGATGAAGCATTATGGGAAAGGCCTTTTTTTCACAGTATACCAGTAGGAGTTGCAGTGTTTTGTCCACAGCCTTCTCCATAAAGTTCTTGTTATGCTATTCTTAGTGATGGTCCTCTCTTTTTTTCACTTCAGACACAGATCTGTCCAGCACCCTCTAGAATTATATCTATATCAGATCAGAGTGTGGCTCATCACTTGGTGCTCTCTGAAGCTACAGCTCTTCCAACTATTTCGGGCAGTCAAAAGCTGGAATTAAAAACTGAAATTATTCATCCCAAGCAAACATTATTTACTGAGTTATTGGGCTAGGCTTTAAGGTTGTAGTCTTAAGAAATTGCCAGCTTTGCTCCAGTTTCCTAACAGTGAAGCATACTTACTGTGCAAAGTCGTCACTGTCCCTGAGAGCAGATCCTGTTTACTGCAGTAAGATGAACTCTCTTCTGACCTGCATAAAATGCAGCACAGATGAAATAGGGAGCATAGTGGCTCTTCAGTCAGATTGTGCAAAGAAGTGAGCCTGGAAAGGAGCTCAACAAAGCTGAGCAAAGTTTCTCTTTGTACTTCTTAATGTCTTTGTTACAATAGGAGTGGTGTATATTGGAGAAATTAGTCAACCTTTCATGGTTGTCAGGTTTTATGAACATGGAAATACTCCATTAATATCCTGACCAAAGACTCTGATGGCCTTATTTCCCTTTTTAATTGAAATTTTTGTTGTTCTCCACTGCAAGTGCAGGCAATTAATTTGTTTGATCCTTTGGATTTTCAGAATTGACAAGCCGAAAGCCTTATCACTGTTGTTGCATACAGCAGATATCAGTCATCCAGCCAAGGCCTGGGACCTCCACCACCGCTGGACCATGTCTCTGCTAGAGGAGTTCTTCAGACAGGTAAAGATGGAGAATTGCTCTGTGTTTTGGCAGCACAGAGGATCGGACAAGTAAGAAAATGTGAACGTGTATTTTCTTTCTTCTCTAATTTTCTCAAGAACATCCTAAATGATAGGAAGCTTTTTTGTCTGGTACAGTAGCACTGCCTATCAAGTCTCTTGGAAAGGCAGTGTCTGCTACACTGCCTATAGATAGAAATACTACCTGCATAGGAGAAGTTCTAATGTGGCTTGCTAAGCCAGGCTAACTACTTTTAAGGAATCAGTATTTCTTTCTAACTTGAAAAAGATAGAATATATGATGTTCTGCTTAGCTAATAAGCCGTAGAAAACGCATTTAAGTAGTTACATGTTATAAAGCTGTACCTATATTTTTGGAGTAGACATAAAGAAGTCCATTATCCTTACCAATCTTTAACCAGTTTTTTGAAGGACATCTGCTTTAAAGGCATTATGGGAATCCCTTCTTAATAAGGACCTTGCAAAAATTTGCTTTGAATCCTTAAGTTTGTTTTTCAAAGCAAGAATGGGTTTACTGGGTGGAAGCAGGAAAATCGTGCCTGCATCCATCTCTGTGTTACCACACAGAAGGCTCATGTAAGGAGGGTGATTTTCACATGCATTTTAGGGAAGACTCTGTCACTGGGCATGCTTATTCTCTTATAGCTCAGAAGGATACTAGATCTGATAAAATATACCATTGCTGAGTACCCTAAAAGATTGATGAGGGAGTTAAGATTAGCTGGCTGTAAGAACACAAAAAGGCCAGGTCTGGATCTGCTTTACATGTGCAATGAGGCAAAATCATTTTACGTTTTCACAAGGACAGCTGAACAACAAATCATGCTTCAATTCTGAATGACAGATGCCTCCATGTCTAGATAAAGCATTGCATAAAACTTGTGTTCTAGTTCTAAATTACAATGAAGTATTAACTCCCTTTTTGGGAAAAACCTTATGTTTACCATGAAAAGTAGACTTGTTCATTTAAGTTAGTAGATGGGTAAATACATACATCCCTACATGGTAGCAGAAGAGCAACATGCACTCTTCTCTGTGTTTGAGCTGAAAAGTGCCACTAGCCAGAGGGAACTAAGAAAGTAGGCTGGTTTCAGTTTAGGTATTTATTTCTTTATGCTCTTTAAGTGCAGATTCTCTTCCACATTTTTTGTTGTGTGTTATGAGGCACTTAACCTGAATCAGTGTGGGTTTCTAAAGCTCTTGGTTTCCAGTTCTCCAGTCATGTGACACAGGTCTTCCTGCATGAACTATGCGTGTTTGTAGATGTTAATGCTGCTTTTGAATACAATTTTATTGACTGATATTCAGCAGCTGGAATAAAGATCTCATAAAGGAAATATCTTGCATGTTTTACCTAGCAATTTAGCTATCCATGAAGGATCTGCCTGAACAGCTTCAAAATCATGTATGTCTTTGAGCAGTCAGGAAGGCTGTTAGGGGCTCTGGGGTTTGTAAGAGGCACGAGGAGTTAGAGAAAAGTGATGATTAGATAAGAGCTGGTACTGAAAAATGCTTTTCCTGAGAGGTGTGGCAGACATGATAACAGGTTACTTCAAAATATTTCTGTGTTTGGTTTCTGCTTACCCTGAAATTTGTACATCAGACTCCTAACATAAAGCAGGAGAAAATTGTTGTTTCACCCAAAGCTCTAACCTCTGGCAGAATTTATTCCTTCTGTTTATGTACGTTATAATAATAACAAAGAAAAAACCTATTCAGTGCTTCTTATGCCTACAGTTTTTCCCTAATTTGTTTGCTGGCTATTTTGACTTCCATTTGACATTGGTCAGAATAATGGCATGAAGTTCAGCACAGTTAAAGTGAGTTGCTGATTTAAGGAATTGGTTCTCTGGTACATTTAATAGGCTGTTTAAGTTTGAATGCTCACTGGGGATTACTGCAGCTGTCATCCTGTGTATCCTATCAGCCTCAAGCGATTTGTAATAGTGTGACTGAAGCAAGCTTGGTGTGAATATGCAGCTTAAATGACTGGAAGAAATGGGTTTGTAACACTTGATCTTCCACACTGTCTTGTGATGTTAAGAAAGGACTGTCAGTTCTGAGGGCTGGAAGCACGTTTGTACCTTTGTTCTTCAGCTCTTACATGAAATGTTAACAATATCAGTGTTTCCTTTGGACAAAAAATGTGATCTGTATCTGGCCAGCCATGACCTGTGAATTCCTTATCTGAAAGACAAAAGGAAAAAAAGCCTTAGCAAGTGCAAATCCTGGAGGATCAATCACGATTCTGAGGACGGTGTTCTGCTGAGTTTTCCAGAGAGCTCCAAAGAGAATCATTCTTAAGTACGAAAGGGTGCTTATGTAGTGCTTGGAAGTACCAAGCAGACAGGGAAAGCTATGAGGAAGGATTCGCTGGAATCAAAATGCTCGATTCCCACCGTTCTCCTTGGACCACGACTTTTCCAGCCAGACTCAGTTCTCCATAAATAATCTGTGTTTACAAAAACGTGCATGTACAAAACCTACTTCACTAAAGAAAGCTAAAATGGGTTGCTTTTACAGCAGTGACCTAAGATATCAAAGTTCAATGCCTTGTTCTAATTTATTCTCTTTTTTTTTTTTTCTCCAGGGTGACAAAGAAGCAGAGCTAGGGCTTCCCTTCTCTCCGTTGTGTGATCGGAAGTCCACTATGGTTGCTCAGTCTCAAATAGGTATGTCCCTTCTGGTGCATTGTAAGTAGCATCTTAAAAACAAAACTTAGAATCACAGAATCATAGATTCACCAAGGTTGGAAAAGATCTCTAAGATCATCCAGTCCAACCATCCAATATTTCCCACTAAATGTCCTTTCATACAACATCTAAACATTCCTTGAACACCTCCAGGGATGATGACTCCACCACCTCACAGGCAGCCATTCCAGAGCCTGTCCACTGTTTCAGAGAAGTTTTTCTTCCAACCTGAATCTCTCCTGGTGCAACTTGAGGCCAGAAAACTTATTTCTCCCTGTGCATGGAGGCTACAGTGATCTCTCACTATTTGAAGCTAGGTTATAGAGAAGAAGTAATAAAGTGCAGTGGTATTTTCTCCAGATCAACAATTCAAAGCTGAGGAGCCATTAAATTTACGGTGGTCTTTGGTTGCAGTAGAGTTACTTCTAATGTATGTGACTGCAGAACTGGCTGCAGTGCCCACTTATGACATTATTCTGTGGTTTTCTGAGCACTGGATATGAGGTGCGCATGGCATTGTGCTGTGAGTTTTCTTAGAGGTTATGGAAACATAACGTCAGTCCTTTTGATGACCTGGGCAAAAACTGTTGTATTTTTCATTTGTTTGTTTCTTTGTTTGTTTTTTTCACTTATTTTCCCCACCCTTTCCCTCTCAGTGCTCAAAGCCAATCAGTATTTTGCACGGAAACCATTTTCAACTCCATTCATTCAGAAGCAGAGATCTTTTTACAGACTCACTAATAGTGCTTTCTTTCTCTCTTGCAAAATCACGGGGTTGCAGAATGTCTGAAGTGGGAAGGAGCCATCTAGGTCCAACCTCTGCTCACGCAGGAACATCAGAAGCAGGTTTCTCAGCACCACATCTAGGTGATTTTTGAGGAGGGACTTCAAAACCTTCCAGGCATCCTATTCCAGTGCTCCATCACCTGCACAGTTAAAAAGTGCTTTCTGATGTTTTGATCTTACCTTTTGTTTTCCAGTGTGTGCTTCTTGTCCTGGCACTGGGCATCAATGAAATGGGCCTGGTTCTGTCCTCTTTGCACTCTCCCTTCAGATGTTCATAGGCTTTTTTAAGATCTCTCCTGAGTCTTCTCCAGACTGAGTAGTCCCAGCTCATAGCAGAGGTACTCCCATCCCTTGACCATCTTGGTGACCCTGTGTTGGACTCTTTTCCTGTATATCCCCATTTCTCTTGTTATGGGAGGCCCAGAACTGGGCATGATAGCAAGGGCACATTGCTAACTCATGTTCAACTTGGGGTCATCAGGACCTCTCAGTCCTTCTCTGCAGATCTGCTTCTCAACTGAGTGCCTGGAATTGTTCATCCTCCACAGGAAAGACGTGGAGCTTTTGGAGAAAGTCCAGAGGAGGGCCATGAGGAAGACCAGAGGACTGAAGCACCTCTCTTATGAAGAAAAATTGAGAGATCTTGTTTTGTTCAGTCTGAAGCAGAAAAGACTCCAGGAAGACCTCATTGTGTCCTTCCAGTGTTTAAAGGGAGATTATAAACAGGAGGGAAATTGTTTACATGTATAAATAGTGATAGGACAAAGGGGAATGGTGTTCAACTAAAGGAGAGAAGATTTAGATCAGATGTCAGGGGTAGGTTTTTGCTCTCAATGAAAACATTGGTGAGGTGCTGGAACATGCTTTCCAGAGAGGTTGTGGATGCCCGTCACTGGAGGCATTCAAGACCCGGCAACCTGATTTGTTACTATTTTACTATTTTACTATATTATTATTATCTAGCAGTTGGAAATTCTGCCTGTGGCAGAGGGGATGGAGCTAGATGATCACTGAGGACCCTTTCAATTCAAGTCATTCTATGATTCTGCTAAATAGGAGGTGCAGGACTTCATGAGATTCTTGCCAGCTCACCTCTTCAGCCTGTCACGATTCCTCTGATGAGTCAGCCATTCCCTCCAGTTTTGTTTCATCTGTGAATTTACTGAGAGTGCACTCTACCCAAACGTCTCCTCCAATTAGTGAAAGAAAAGGAGGATGGGGAAACAGTAAGCCTGATAGCTGGGGAGAAGTCAAGAGGAGTTAACTGAAGTAGGCATGTTCTGCTGGCTAGAAGCAAAAAAAGAGACAACTTGAGAAGAAAAGGTGGATTTATGGGTAGATATTTATGCCCACAAAGCTAGTGAAAAATGTTATCTATCCATGACTGGAGAACAGAATGCCAAATGGAAGAAGAAGAGACAGATAATGCTGACTCCCAGCATAAGGGAACTGAGTCCAGAAGCAGAAAGAAAACAAATGTATTCAAGGAAAGCAATCAAGAGAAGAATTTGAAGTACGAAATTTCTCAGCTGTCTCCTGAGCTGACCAAAAAACAAAACAAATATATCCCCAAGCTTAGGAAAGTACAGGTTCACATCTGTGGCTCAGAGCTGTTTCTTGTTTAAAATTATTTCATTGTTCTCGTTAGGCAGCCACTCCCTTAGTGGACTTCATTCAGATTTTTCTGGCTCTGCAAGCTTAGGCAGTTCATGCAACAGTCTGAACTTGAAAAGCCCTGTACAAACCCAAACTGGATGCCACATTTCTAGAGTGTAGCCCTCTGAAACAGTACCCCAGAAAGGTGTGTATGTATACACAGCACAACACAAGCCCTGAGAAGACTTATATTTTGCCAGTGGCTCAGTGGAGGGAAGCAACAGCAAACTTAAAGAGCTTCAGTATGAGCTAAAACCCATGCTGAAGATTCCTGTGCAGACTATGCCTGCTGCTATGGGAGATGATGACCTCTCTGTGGTTGGTGTGGAGGAAAAGACACATTTGGACTTATCTTTCACAGTGGTTCTGGCAGCTTTAAGATATGTCCCTCACACCTTACCAGGAAGAGGAGCTGTGCTTCCTGCGTGTCCCCTTCTGAGCTCTGGTAAGCTCAGTGTGCTTAGAAACCAATTTGCCTTGTCCTCTGCTTTCATGCTTTTTGACTCAGAAGGCCAGGAGAGCCAAGAAACTTCTATACTATGGATGTATTTTGTCAAGCCACTGCAAAATTAATGATGAATTAAACTGTCACCAGGATAATTACACTTTATAAAAGCGGCACTCCGTCAGCGTGTAAAGGCAGCCTTATTTAGTTGAATGCTATTTGTCACTGTATTCTTTTGTGTGGTTTTGTGATCCATTGACACCAATGGGCCATTGTCCATAATCCTTGGCTTCTGATGTAAAGTTCTCATTTCTCTGTCTGCTTGTATATTGGCATCATCTGTCTGTAACACCTTTGTTAGATCAGAATGTCTTACATGTTCTGCCTCTCTGCTGAGGCAAGGCTTTCTCAGTTGTAAGGTAGAAATAATCTGATCCTATTCATGTATTTATTTGATCAACAGTCCCAACAGGCTGTTCACTGGGTTAGTAATGACTGCATTTCTTTGCAGAAGCAAGTTCCTTTTGAATTCCAAATCACGCAGTGAGCAGCCGTAAGTTTCTACAAATGAAACAAATAAACAAACAAACAAAACCATCTATACTTCCTTAAATAAAATTGTGCTACTGATATTGCCAGGTTCAGAGCATAGAAATCCTGTTCTGGTGGCTTGGCTTGTTTGTAGTTGCTGGTTTGCTGCTGAAAGTTGACTGCAGATGCCACAAACAGCGGGCAGGCATTTTTATTAACTAAGGGATTTCATAAATGCAGACAGAAGGCTTTCCAGCATGCACTCTTTCCATAAAAATGAAGCAAAAATTTCTTCGAAATAAAGAATGTCTCCTTCTCTTGTTTCTTTAATTTATGGATCATTTTTTCAGTATTAAAACTAATACATTTTTTAAAACAAACATCAAACAAAGAACCTTAGTTTTAAAATCTACTAATGCTAGTGATCAGTTTATCATCTTTTTTCTTCCTCAATAAAAATACTTTTGGTAAATATGTCTGTACCCTACTGAGGTATAGAAATCATGAGAGATTCATGTGCAGGTCAAGCTGCTGTCCAGAGTGGGGAAGGCAAACAGATTTCAAAGAAAACCAGGCCAAAACTTGTGCATCCTGACATGAATATTAGGAGTTAAAGCTTCTCAATCTTTCTCAGACTGTAGAAAGCTTGTCTGATGAGAGATGAAACTCACTTGCAACTGATAAATATAAGAACACCTTTTTATTTTTGTCCAGTAGCTGGCAAGAAAGAAAATTACAGCTTCAGAAAACATTGTATGAAGGCTGAGAAGTTTATGTTTCTGGTTTGTTGGTTTCTTTGCTTGTACTGTGGTGGGCTTTAGGGAAACAATTCTCCTGCCAGTGTTTGTTGTGCTGGTGTTCTCAGGTGCAATGAATGAATTGCCTGTTACCAACTCCTCAGTATGCAATGGCAATTGATAAGAACATCCTAGTCACTGGGGTACAGAAATATTTACTTCACACTCAGTCTTTCGAAAAAGAAAGATGATGGTGAATTAGTCTTAGGCTAAACCATTAACAAGTTTTAAATCCGGGTTAATTATTTTGAATATAAATCACAGTGCCTTTAGGTAAGAAGAAAGAGAATACCGAAGAGTGGTTTGGGATTATAGTATAAATTACATAATTGCTATTCAGATTGCTCTGGAAGTTATGCCTCCTCTTTATTTCCATGGAAACCAAAACAGATACAAAGAGCACGATAACCCTATTTGATGGAGTGCATTCTCAGTGACAAAACACTGTTTCTCAACATTGTCACTACCATGAGGTATGCATTTGCAGCAGTGATGAGCTGCTGAAAGAGCCATCATGCTGCATTCACAAAAATCTGTACCAGCAGAGGTGATCCACTGTCACTGTTGCCGCTGTGGGAACGCATCACCCACTGCCTCACTGTGGTGACATCCACTGTTTGGTCTCCATAAATGTTCAGTAAGTGTTGATGAATGTCAGTGTGTCATTTTTTCCATGTGGAAGAAGTCAGTGACACAGCTTTCCTTCATGCACACTTTCATCTCAGGTGCCATCTGCTGCCATCTGTCGCAAGGCAACAGGCTTTAGCAGAATATTGATTGGAAGGTTCACTCCCTTCTGCCATATCACCAACATCTGCCTTTGCTGTTGTGGGCCAATGTAATAAAATAAGAGGCATTACTTTCAGATCAGCCCTCATAATGAAGTCCAGTGATTTGCATCGATGACTTGGATTTGTTTGGTCACTAAGAAGTAAAAAAAATATTGAAGGAGATTAGAAGAGACATAGAGACAGGCAGACACACGTAAATCAAATTCTCAGTATCCTCTGAGTTCCTGTGACACACTGTTCTCAGTCAGTAAAATTTGCAGTGTTTTTAAAAATAATGTGAAGTTTCCTAGGGTTAACTGCACTCAGTTTCCTGCTGTGGCTTTATACTGCATGCATTTTTGTTTAACAACATGAAAGGAAAGGTGATATTTTCCCTTAAGTTTGCATAAGAGTATATCAAAGTTATGGAAGCACGTGGTTCGGATGCTCATGTAAGATTGAAGGTTCAGTAATGCATGATTTTTTCTTTAATTTACAAAGTAATAGTACGAAATTCTGAGAACTTGGAAGTAATGTTTTTAATTATGCTAAGTATGAAAATATGATTCATTGTCTGACATTTTAGAAGTATAGAAAAAAATCAAGCAAATCAGGCAAGTGAAATGGAACTAGAAGTATGCTCAGCTACCTTGCACTTTTAGAAAGAGTTTGTCTGAGATCGCTGATGCAGTGACTTCACATTAATCATTATTTCACCTTCTTGACTGTGCTTGCATTTCTGCTCAGGTTTCATTGATTTCATCGTGGAACCCACTTTTACTGTGCTGACTGATATGACTGAGAAGATTGTGACACCGCTCATAGATGAAGCTTCCCGTTCTGGCATGTCTGGGTTCAGACGTTCCAGGTGAACAACCATATGTCCTCTCCCTTTAGAGCACTTGTTGCTTTTGCATCCAGGTCCCCTGGTGAATGTCATGGTCTGTGTCCACATCCATCCCTCCACAGTGTATGTCTGCCACGTGTTGTAAAGCTTGCTGTCCACATTGCCAGCACTACAGCTCACCTTGTGATGTGACTGTTTTGAAGGGAAACTCAAGCCAAGGTAGGGCAAAGAGGGAGGCTGGCCATCTTGGAAATGGAGCCAAGCCTCTAGAGGTACTGAATGCAAGTGGGTGTAGCCATGTAGTGCTCTCTCATTCACTAATGCCAAAACAGGAGGTAGGTAGTGTCATTGAGAAGCACTCATTTCTAGGAATATGGAAGTATAAACGTAATTAAAGAGGATTGGGAAGTATAGGAAGACTTACTTAGAGTTATTCAAATGTGTGAATTATCACCAGAGTTCACCTGCAGCTTGGATATAAGGAGTCTTGGCCCATTCATTCCCTTCTGCAGTTGTGGAGAATCTGCTACTTCAGTAATTTCATGAACAAGGCATGTCTTGGGATCCAGGTGGCACATGGTTTGTACTGCTTAGAGTGAAGCCTCCAAATCAGGATTTTTTCCCCAAGCAAATTCTTTATTCTTGGACTGTTACATTCAGGGCAACCACTAATATCTTTCTATATCAGTTATCTTGCTGTCTTTATTAAAATGTGCACTATGACATGCCTCTCCTTGAAAGAGAACTGCTAGGTCTGTAACTGAAATGAGTGCCTATTTCAACTTTAATGAGGTCATCAAACCCTGGATGGATGCTGGTATACAGCAGTTCTGTGTCTAATGACTCCAACAGGTGAATTTGAGGAGACTCCTCCTTTGACATATTGGATTTCTAGGTTTGTCTGACTCTCCATTTGATGTTTAGGGAGTGGAGATGCACAGCAAAGAACCACTTTGTGTGTTTCTCTTTGTAAGGAATCATGTCTATCAACAATCAGGGAGAGTCCGTTATTTCTAATGCTGACTCTGATTGTGCTGCTTGCTTTAACATTGATTGCCGTGGGGCTAAAGGGAGGGAGGGAATTGTGGAGGATTCAAGGTTGTCTTTCTTCTTCTTTGGGTGTTATCTGGATTTAGAGTAGCAATTTGTTAGCTGTGTTAGGTGCACTGATTTCTGTTACGTTTTGTGATCTTGTGTCCCAGTCTGAATAGCATCAGTCCCTCTGAAGTTAAGAGATCAAGTGTCAAGAGCACTGGGTCAGAAGGAAGTGCCTCACTCAACTGCTCCATACTCACTGTGGACTTCAAATGTTTTAAAGCCACCTGGACTGAGGTGGTGCAGCAGAACCGGGAGAAATGGAAAGCACAAGCCACCAAAGGTAACATCAGGCTTCTTAGTGAAAGAATAAAAATTCTTTTGACCTCTTCTACTTCAAACTCATCTTCAATCAAATTATTCTCCAAGTAAGCACTGCTAGTTTGAAAGAATCTGCTTCTCTAGGTCAACAGCTTACACTGAATTCAGAAAGATAGGAATATTGTGACTCATCTGTACCTTACATGCTTCTGTGTGATGTAAGTGTAGATAACAGAGAGGATTTGGACAATAGGAGGACAAAAAGGAATTCTAAGGGAAGCCCCCAAAGGTCATGAGTCAGACTCAGAGCGTGTACAAAAACAGCAGGAAAAATATTTTGGGAGACGTGTTATCAATTGTTTACTGTTAAGATTGAAAGAGATAGGAATGATATGTCAGCTGAAAAGGCCATGGTATTCTGGATCCATGTCTGGCTTCATATTTGCAGTGATACCTTGGATGAGAATATAGGAAGTTTGCTGCTTCTGCTCATGATATCACAAATCTGTGCAGGACTGCAGAATATAAAGTCTGCATTGATTGTGAGCTTGGAAGCAGACCAGGCATCCAAAATGTCATACAACTGAAAGTGCCTTAGAGTCATTTAGATGTGTTTGGAGAAAACAAAGTCAGAATTTGATTACATTTATTTCTTCATGAAACTGTGATACAGTGTCTCCTTTGAGCTGAATGCTCGTTACTAAACCCATTATTTAATGGAGCTGTTGTATTTCATATAAATGGAAGGAGTTTGATTGTAATACATTATGCGGTTTGGGCTTTATGACCAATGGAAGACTTGGCTTAGTTCTCTATTTGCCAAAGCAGATCTGTCTAATTGAAAGGCCTGTCTAATGGTGCAGGGAAGCTCATGGTGGTGCTAATCCAGCAGTGCTGTAGCAAGCCCTAGTTTCCTGAGCTGAATCTCTTCTCTTGTTTGGGTGCAGATGCAGCATTTTGGTTTCTTTTCAGATCCTCAGAATAAAGTGAGCTGAATACCATCAGACTTCCAGAAAGCTGTCTATGTGAGCTGCCGTTGATTTCAAGAGCGATTAGTAAAGCCAGGGAAGCACATACCTAATTTAATTATATTTTCATGTGAGCCGTAATTTATTCATTTAAAAAGTAATTAACTTGAGCTAGCTGCTGACAAGGAAACACAAATTGACATTTCTTATACAGAGAGCTTTCACCTTTCTCTCCCATAACCCATTGGTACACTGTTCTCAAAACTGTTTCTGGTCATAAGAAGTACTTGAGGAGACACCATTGTTTTTTTTTGTAATTTTTGCTCTCTGGCTAAGTTGCTGCTCCTGTAAGGACCACAATGTCTTCCCTATAGGTGTCAAGATTGCTTCCATTGGACTAATTGGACTCTATTCTTTGATTTGCAGGATATGCTTGTCTACTTATCAGCTTACAAAATGTCTCAGAAACCAGGAAATACATCTCTTTGTGATTCCTATCTCAATTAGAGTACAACTGGTTATCCACAATAGGGTGATGGATGGGTGGGCTGTGATACTGCAGACCTAGAAACCCTGTAGGGAGGCAGAATGAGATATACTAGGCAGCACAGTGCAGTCACTTCTGAATGCTTAAAGTCAGTATGGATACAGATACGTCCTGAAGCTCAATAAGGCTCTAAATTGAGTGTGGGCTGAGTTATTCAGTTGCTTTTGCACGTTAATTCTTTTCTGATCATAGAAAAGAGGAGAAAATTACGGAGTTTCTGCCTGCACATCGGTTTTTTAGCTCGAGCACTACATTAAATGATTCTATGATTAAGGGATGTAGTTGTGTTCTGGGACACGTTCCCCTTTTGGGAATGGAAGAGAAGGTACTGATAGTAACGTATTAGCCTGGTAAGAAGGGACAGAGATGTGAAGAAATTATAGCACTAAGTAGAAATGAAGAGATAAGGAAGCTGGAATTGAAAGCAACTTGGAAAAGGGAGAAAAATGGATTTTCAAAGAACCAAGACTTTCAAAGTTTAGGATTATGTGGTGCAGCATAGGGTAAACTAAATGTGATTTGACTGACTCTTGTATATCAGGAATGAAGATAAGCTCTGTACCCCTAAAGACATACTTACAGAGCTAATATCTCTTTTTAATTTACCTCTTAAATTTTCCGAAGAGCATTTTCAGAAGGGAACCTCATATGGTTAAAAATATACATGTACATATGATGTAGGCCAACACAGGGTATTTTTTTCAGAGTACTTTCTTAAATGTTCTCCTGTGCTCTTTTTCCCTTGTCAAGTCAATTCCTACACTTATCTAAGTAACACCTGTTTGCACGTTAAAAGCTGAAGTAGTTATATGTGTGAATTGTATTTCTTGCAAAATTGACTGATAATCATCATTTCTTTTCATGTTTTGCTTCTCTCTTTGCTGAGGATGCAGAAGAAAAAGCTAAGAAAGAAGCAGAGGAAAGTGTTCATCAGGGAACAGATGAAAAGAAAACAGATGAAAAGGATGAGAAGCCAACTGAAGATGCCACAGCAGCAAAGACGGAGAACAGCAAAGAACCAAATCCTGGGGAAAACAAAAGTTCAGATTCCAGTGAAAATTCCCACGTAAATGGGACTGGGCAAATTGGAGTGACCAGACACGAAGCCTCTCAAGGAAAAAGCGTTCCTAGGACAGATAAGGGAATGGATTCTCATCACACATCAAAGGAAGAGAAACGTGTCCAGAATGGTAAGTTCTCTCCTTCCACTGAAAGGTGAATGCCACCCTAAACATGGCATTTCATCTCAGTAATGGGATGGGAGCAGTTGATGTTGTGAAAAAAGTTGTCCTGGGTGCAGAACCTTTTCCTAGAATTCGGCATTGGTACTTCCAAGTATTATTGTTTTGTAAGAGATGGAGCTCTTAATGTCTGCTTCATGCTTTTGGCAAAGGGCAATAAGACTCTTCTCAAGGAAATGAATCAGCTTGTTTTGATGTACACTTCAAAGCTGAAACAAACTATTGTGGTTCAGTGAACAGCTTCACTGATTCACTGGTTAGTCAAAAGAGGAAATGCTGAAGATATAAACACTTTCAAAGGCCAATTTAAGGTATCTCTGAACTGATTCACGAATGTAAATATGTTTTAGGACTGCAGCTCTTTTCCCTTCTCCGCTGCTTTTAAGAGTTATTTTATTTATACTACATTTGTTCTGTTTTATTATGGCAAACATGAGCCTTTTCTTAAAGATTTATTGTCAAAAAATTGTTAGTGAGTTAAAATAATTATATTTTGCACTTAGAAAAGGTGGAAAAAGAACTGAATTGAAAATTGCATATCACATTAAAATAAGTTATTAGACCTAGGAATCACAGAATCACGAAATTGTAGGGGTTGGAAGGAACCTCTGTAGATCATCAACTCCAAACCACCTGCTAAAGCAAGTTCCCTACGGAAAGTCCCACAGGAAGATGTGCAGCTGAGTTCTGAATATCTCCAGACAGGGAAACTCTGCAGCCTCTCTGGGCAGACTGTTCCAGTGCTCTGTCATCCTCAAAGAAAACAAGTTTTTCCTCATGTTTTTACTGTAACTTGCTGTGTTCCAGTTAAGTGCCAGCTGCCCCTTGTCCTGTTGCTGGGCACCACTGAAAAGAGCCTGGCCCATCAGCTTGCTTCCAGCCCTGTAGGTATTTGTAAACAAGGAGAAAAGGGAGCAGAGGAAGCAGGTTTCCCTAGAGGGATGCAAAATAATCCCCTATAGTTATACACACTCTGGAGGTGATTGACCTTCTAGCTTATGTCATAGGAGGCAGCTAAGGAACATTTGTCACTGTTCTGGTTGGCCTGGCTTATTTCCCAGTTGGTTGCAATGGAGCACTTGAACCCCACTCCCCAAGTCCTTCATTTTAAAGCCTGCTTCACTAGTTTGGCCAGCCTGCTGCCAAAGATGCCCTTCTAGATAGGTGGATCCCATCCCTCCCTAAAAGGTCCTATTCTTCACAGGGAGTCCCATTCTCATAAAAACCAAACCATAAAAACCTTGAGCTAGCACCAGCCACATAGCCAGGAGTTGATACGTATTACATGCCTATTTCTGGCTTTCCTCTTTTCTCCAACTGGCAAGATTGAAGAAAAGATAATCTGGACAGTAGGACTTTTCACTTGCACTCCCAGGACTTTGTTGTCTTATTTGATTCTGTCCCTGAGAACAGATCAGTTGGCTATGGGCTGTTTCACTGTCCTTCCCTTGCCAGCCTTGCTCCTCTAAGTCATTAGCAAGAAATGACAGTACAGCCTCATGTGATTTCTCATCATCTTGGTAATGTCAGCCAGTCCAAAACCAGCAAAACACTGAGATTCTGAAGCATCCTCTTAGGAAAAAATGAGTAATCGTATAGACATTGAAATTCCAGGGCTAAGGCAGTGGACTTAGATGGCAGCTGAGGCAAGAATTCTGTTTGAAGTACTCCTGGTATGACTGGGCGCAGGCCTTTCCCAGTGATTCTTTTGTCATTAGATGTTTTTAGATTGGAAGTACTAGATAGATCCAAGTTGTCATGCTGTTACACATGGGATTTTTCTTCCAGCAGTGTTTGTGGGCCCCACAAAGAAACAAAAAGGTTGGCGATGTGAAATCTCAGTTAGACTGCAATAGATTTTGCTCCTGAAATCCTTTATTTTACAGGCTTCTAACAATATAAGGGCTAAGTATGCTCTGGTGATTTGCACCGTACCTTTTTCTGCAATGTCTCTCTGCTGCAGGTGTCTGAAGTGCTTTGGAAGGAATTATAATGATTTCTGCAAATTAGTGTCTTCCTTAGGGCAAGAAATTCTGCTCTTTAATTAATGGGAGAAGGCCCTAATGAATTACATTCTCTGCAGAATCTTCGGAGACTGATGAAATCTAACATTCATATATCTGGGTTCATGCAGTTTCCTTTATTTTACATCTGTTAACACCTCGTCATGAGATATCTGCCTTTGCCTTTGTCATCTCTTTCAGAAAGACCATTATGATCATTGTTCTGCTCTGCTACTGGCAGTATGGCATGGTAGATATCGCAACACCCAGCAGTCTCCTATTCATAAAAAGATATTCAATGAAAGTTAAAAATTGTGCTGTCAGAGGAGTTGGAAGTCTCTCTCACTTCTCGCTCCCTGCTCACATTCCTTGTGCTTTCTCAGAGATGTCAAACTGGGAAATAAAGTGTGTGTGCATGCCCATCGTCTTTGCCTGATAAGTCCCTCATTTATGCAGCGGGAATGTAAGAAGCCTTCTGTGCCTTGCTGGGTACATTTTCATTTCATCTTGAATACAGTGTCCTTGTAGAGACCATCTTTTTCAAGCAGACACCTCAGTCCTACCTGGAGTACCTGGAGCTGCTCATACCTCTCTTCAGATTGGACTTTCCAAAGAAGCCCAAATCAATATATAATAAGCTGAGGAAGTTGCTGTCTGTCTCATGTCTTGTTTTCATTTTTTTCTCACCTACACAATGGCCTTAATAAGAAAACCATGGAAGTTTTGGTTCTAAATGAGAACAAAACAGGACGTGTTTTTTCCATCTTGCTAAATGTTTTAAGATTTCAAAACCACTTTTCTATTGCAGGAATATTAATTAGAGAGGGAGAAACCAATCTTCTGTCATCCAAGAATAACAGTTGTTCCAGTGGTTAGGGCACAGTTTAGAAGAGGTGGGCCTTGTTTCTCTACATTTTCACTTTTTTGAGCTGTTTCAAAAATAAATACTCATTCACAGTAACTGTTTTGAAGGCAGATTTGTTCCTCTCTATCATAGCAATCCCTAAGTTCTCGATCCAAAGGCTAGGAAGTGGTAATAATAGCAAAAAATAGTAATACAGCTGGAATAAGCGTTGCTTTTATACAGCCATGTACTCGAATTTACAAAATTCTGAAGTGAGATTTAATACAGGGTTTTTTTCATGTTGAGATGTGGCTTACAAATTCCCTGCTGCTCTCTTTTGGGTGAAGGAAGAGATGCCTGCTCCCATCTGTGCAGGCTGCCATTGGACTTCTCTGGACATCTCTGGACATCTGCAGGAAGGAGACCTCCTTTGTTGCTGAATGAGCCCTATTCTACTGTATCTATCTCTTGAAGTAAATTTTAGTTCATAGTGGCATTTGGCAACAGAACATTCTTTTCAGTGGGGAGATGTCTGGGAAGGTCTGTTGTGCTCTGCTGTGCGACTGATAGAGGACAGAAAATAAGAAGGACCTCAGTTACCCTTTTTGGCTTCTTAAAATATACTCCAGCACTAATTCCCATTTTTGTTCTGCATCGACTGGTGTACTCCTAAAGACCTTGTCTTCCTGGTTTGCTGTATAGACTCGAAATCCAGTGATCAATGCTAGGATGCTTGTCTTTTTCTTGATATCAGTGTATGCAGACCAGCATAAATGATTTATGGATAAGTAAAGCTGGTAAGAGAAAGGGTAATCCAATGAAGCAGGACTTTTTAGGATATCTAAACTGGTTCTTTAATGCAGAGACCTGTGACAGAGCCTCACAGGATCTTAACTCAGTCTTTTAAAAGCATACATTTTTTAGAGTCTTGATTTTGAGATGAAGGTAGTGTTCAGGTTTTAATGGTGCATTTGCAGTGAGGAGGAGCATGAGTTTGCATGGGCACTTAAAGGGGTCTTAGCAGAATATGAAAGTAAATTGTGAAGCTTGGTTTTCTGCTGGAGTCAGATAAACACTGAGTGTTGCATTGTTCTGACCTAATTATATGCATTATATGACCTAATCCTAGGTCATTGTGAATCTGAATATTTCCTCTTAAGGAAAATCTTTCTTGGATGTTGACATTTGATGGAGTTACAGGCATTAATACACTGCAGTTTGAATTATAATGCTTATAGTATCCCTTATTTCTTCATTCTAGGTGAAATAAAGGAAGACAGTATGGCAGACAAAAAAGATCAATCTAGTGTGGGAAATGAATCAAAGAAAACAGATGGTAAGGACTTACTATTTTGTTTTGTTTTGTCACTCATTTCTATATGCAATCTATTGTTTTATAAGCATCCATATTTTATGATTAAAAAAAATTGTGTGGTCACCTGGAAAACATTTAACAGAAACAGTCATTAGATATGACAGAAGCCATTAGGGGTATTGTGGGGGAAAATCATCTCTTTCACGTAATGTCTAATGCCACTTAATTTTTCTGTTGGTAAACCATCTTCTTTATCTTCTTGAACAATTTCTGTGCACCATCCATAAGAAAAATCCTGGATTGTTTGAACTGCTTAGTACGAAACATGGGTTTGTAAGGTTCTATCCTGAGTTTCTTTGAGCCAAATTCTGCTCTCAGTTAAGATCAACTGTATGGAGGTGCAAAACACAAATCTAAGCAAAACCCTGAACAAGGTGCATCTCCTTTTTTCTGGTTGCACATCACACTATGTCTATCCAACCACAAAGGTTTCTTGACTTAATGCTCTGAGGTGGAATTTGCCAAGTGCTGTTGAACCACAGGTATGGGAAGGAAGCAAGCAAGAGTAGGCACATCAGCACAGAAACACTGTTAAGGACACTCTGGAAAAGGGATATTGCTAAAACACTTTTGAACTGAAACAATTCCAAGTTGTATGACAGTTTCTTAAACACCTAGAAATAATTTCATACAGCCCTGAGCCTATTGTAAATTTTCACAGATGTTTTAGTAGCATCAGCAAAGCAGAAAAACGTCTATAAGAGATGTGGCATGTGTGCTCTTCTGCTTCTCAGCTGTGCAGCAGAAGGCTATAAGATAGTATCTGAGACTCCACATCACCCCAGAACTGATTGCTTAAATACTGCATAGAAGAATAAATGGAAACAAATGCTACAGCTAAGATTTCCTTTGTATGTCTCGATTAAATCCACTGAAATATTCCTAAATATAAATAGTGCAGTATTGTGTTTTAATGATCAAGAAAGGCAACCTCATTTTAAGTGCTGCAGTTTAGATGATGTTTGCTTTTACTGTTACCTTGTAAGAAATTACTTCATATTCTTACTCTTGCAGAAAAGTGACAAATAAGAAGATAATGTTATCCTTAGCAAAAAGAAAAGAAAAAAGTAAAGCAATTCATCTATAATCACATGTATTAACTTCAGACACACAAATATGTAGTTTATACAGAGCTCTGTTAGCAATGATTGTTCAGGAAAAATCAATTATTTGTTGGAATATTTATACACTTATTATTTATACACTTCGGATAAGTGTCTGTCAGGAAGAGTCGTGAACGAGTACCATTCATAACTCTTTACACAGTATGCAGAAATAAAGAGCAAATACTCAATTAGCTGCCTGGCTCTGCAGGCATTTACGATATGTGCATGTCTTATGTAGCTGTAATGGCTTCACAAGGATTAGTAGGAGGAATGGCTTCTCTCCCCACTGCAGTTGGTGATGGCAGAACAGTGGCCGTGTAGAAAGACTGCTCCCTTGGCAGGATGGGCAGATGCAGAAAGCTTGGGGCTTCTCTTAGCAGATTCAGGGGCTTCAGACCAACCATGAGAGTAGGCTTGGGAGCCCCTAAACTTGAGGACAAGGTCACCTTTGAAAGCTTGCAGTCGCAGTCTCTTGGAAAGAGTAGGGACACCCATTTAATCTGGCTGGAAGACAAAGAGGTGAATGTTTCATGCTGACTTAGAAGTATGGTAGTAAATCTGTTTACTTCCAAGTTGCTAATCTTGGAGTACTGTTAGCTATTTAATCTGTTCTTCTGCAAGGATGTGTTCTGCTCAACCCCTTAAGGAAAAGGCCAGTGCCATGAGATCAGCTGATTACAGTGAATAAGGAACTGTAACCAAGCAAAATCAATTTATGGGCTCCATGTTTTTCATTCAAATGCTGTAGAGAGAGATTGTGACTAATAATGTCACTAACAGAAATAGGGAATATCTGTGAAAGACGAGCCCTAGGAAAGTATTGGGATATTGGGCACGTGTGTTTTGAGAAATACTGCGTGACCCCTTCTGTCCATTGCTCAGTCCTGAGCAAATCTCCTTACCAGCCATGGAAGGGATGCGGAAAAATGAATCTTGCCCACAAATAGTACGTTGCTGTTTGTAGACTACTGAACTATGTACCCAAACATATGGTTTCTCATCTGCTGGGACATGGTCCTTCATATACTGGGAAAAAAAGCAGAGGAGTTGGAAAGAGTCAGGTTACAGCGCTGGAATTTTCTCACCACTTCTAGATTGCTTTCGAGTGAGTATCAGCCCAGGTTTTAGCAGCATCAGGCCCAGTGCTTGGGTTTCACAGCCTCTTAGTCTGCAAGTGGGGTGTATTTGTGTGAAATAGGTGCTCGTTTGTGCAGATTCATCACACCCCATGCGGGCTTTGGCTTTCTTTTGGCCTCCCATTAGCATCAGCTAGAGCCCTGCACCCAAGCTGAGGTCAGTCTGCTGTTCTGTCCTGCTGTGAGAAAAAAGCTGCAGTTTAACTACATGAATCTTTGCATGATCTTGCCCATGGTACTTTTTGAGCACATACAAGATATAACTGTAATATGTTCTAATTGGAAAATGGAAGTGTTAAAGCATTTCTAATCATCCTTCTACTTCATGGCGAACCAGGTGGCCAAGGAAATACGAATAACCATCCCAGTGGACACAAAGACATTAAGTGGCTTGCCTGCGCTGTAGTCACAGGTGTAACATGTGTCAGTGCTACCTTTATGCTACCCACAGATTGGTGTGCATGCCTCCAGAAATAGGGATCAAGCTCTGTAAGCCACTGGGAAGCTATAAATGCATCTAGCCAGAGCTTCACACAGCTGAATCTATTGGTAGCACAGCCTGCTAGTTTAAATAGTTTGAGGACACCTGTGCAAGCTGCAGTTGTGTCTTAGAATGCAGTATTAATTGCTTCCAAATCTTGTTCGAGTTTCTTAAACACAGGATAGCATCCTCATTGTCATGTTATCGTCCTGTTACTGGCTTTTTGTTTGTTCTGTGGGACATTCAGTTGTTACTCAGTGCTGCCCTTATCTTCAGCTTCGAGAGAAGAGATATGAGACTGCCATTTCTTTGTAAAGACACAGTCCTATCTGACACCATCAGCACCAACAGCATCATCAAATGTTTTCTGTGGGATAAAGTGTTATTAAATCATTTTGGAAAACCTGATTTTCCCCTGTGAAGTAGTCACTATTCAGTACTTGGAATGGAAATTTTAAAGCAGTCACACAGTAATTTTTTAATACATTCCCAGCATTTATTTTTGCAATTTTTTCTACTCACATACTTAGAATAAATGAGAAAACTTTTTACATCATGTTGCACTTTCACAAGTTATGGCTTCATTTCTTTTTCCTACTAGGGAAAATGTCTGCAATATTAAGTTTTCAGTGCAACTCTTTGTTCCAGTCACCAAAATACAGTTTATTCTGCTACTCTTTTTCAGCTAGGAAATAACAGAAATTTGCAGGTTCATTTGTGTGTGTTTATGTGTATTTATGTGTGTTTTCCTGGCAACTTATCTCATGGTAAAAAGCAAATCTGCTTCTTGAAGCACAGAAATACATAGGGTGTTATTGCTCGTATCTTGAACTGCTGGTATGTGGGAAAGCCTCGTGTGCCCTGGCTGTGTATGATGAGCAACACTCCCACCTCGTGGTCAGATCTTACCCCTACATTTCAATAGCACTTGCCTCTGTGCGGTGCAAAAGCAAATAATACAGTACATTACAATGCAAGGCAGTATGCATCTTTTCACATGTTCACATGTGCAGTCTCTATGATGAGTACATACATTACAAGTGCTCTAGGGATTTAGACCTTTATCACAGAGTCATAGAATGGCTTGGGTTGGAAGTGATCCCAAGGATCATCAAGTTCCAACCCACCTGCTACAGGCAGGGCCACCAGCCTCCAGATCTGGAACTAGACCAGGTGCCCAGGGCCCCATCCAACCTCACCCTGTATACCTCCAGGGACAGGGCATCCACAGCTTTTCTGGAAAGCCTGTTCCAGCACCTCACCTCTCTCTCTGTGAAGAACTTTCCCCTGACATGCAATCTAAACCCTTCCTCCCTGAGCTTAAAACCGTTCTCCCTTGTCCTCTTACTGTCTACTTTTTATAATCCCCTTCTAGATACTGGCAGGCTGCAATGAGGTCTCCTTTCAGCCTTTTTTTCTCTAGGCTGAACAAGCCCAGCTCCCTTAGCCTGTCCTTGCATGGGAGGTGCTCCAGCCTTCTGGTCATCTTCATGGCCCTCCTCTGGACTCACTCCAACAGCTCCACATCTTTCCTACAATGGGGGCCTCAGACCTGGATGCAGTACTCCAGATGGGGCCTCATGAGGACAGAATAGTACTTTATCTTCTTTTGTGTTTTGTTTTGTTTTGTTTCAAGCTAGACTGTTGCTTAATAGTAGTTCAAATCCTTTCCTATGGGTTCAGTACATTGACCGTGCCAACATGTAGAGCTCCTTTTGGTCTTATTTTTTCTTGACAATCAGCAAGTACAAAATTCCCTGTTTAGAAAGGTAAAATACAGGGGCTCTGTCACTTCCTATCACAGATGGGATAAAAAAAATCAAAAACGAAGCATTCGTGATGGAGTAGCTTGCACAGAGCATTGCTATCTGGGAATGTCTTTGGTGTAGGAGTGCTTTCTTTGAGAGGACTTTAAATGATGATGTGGTGGAGCTGTGATGATGGCCTTACTTTTACTGCAGATACAGTTGAATTAACAGAATTCTTCCCTGTTAATATAGAGGAGAATGCAGCTTTTCACAAAGTTGTTCAGCCACTTTATGATGATCTATCTTTGCAGCCTTCTGCAGATATGGTTTTCAGACGTGCATTTTGTGTGTTGATCTAGTGCAATACGTTGCACTGAACAGTAGATTTCTTCTGTCAAAATCTTGCTTGTATAATCTGCATGATGCTAGTGCTGTTCTAACCGAGGTTGCTCAAACATAATGGAACAACATTCACCTCTATATTCTTCAG